TAAGATGCTGAGTTTGTTGATCAGAAGGTCGGCAGTTCAAATCCAAAGCGCTGCGTAATGGAGTGAGCCCCCGTTACTTAGCCCAGCTTCTGCCAACCTAGCAGTTTGAAAGCACATAAAAAATGCAAGTAGAAAAATAGGAACCATCTTTGGTGGGAAGGGAACAGTGCTCCATGCGCCTTTGGCATTGAGCCATGCCAGCCATATGACCACAGAGACATCTTTGGCTTTTCGGCTTAGAAACTGAGATGAACACTGCCCCCTAGAGCTGGAAAACAATTAGCACACACGTTTGGGGGAACCTTTACCTTTAAGGGTAGAAATGCATAATTTTAAGGGCCAACAATCAGATGTCCACTAACTACAGTATTTGATCTTTCAATAACACCAGAAGTTCCAAAAAATGCCCTTTTAAAAAACGGAACAGAGATATTTTGAGTCACTGATCAACGAAACGTTTCCGTATCTTGTCCAGATTACCAGGCATATTGTGGTCCAACTCTATGGTTTAGAAAGTTTAAATACCAGGATTTAAACTTGGATGACATCTAAATTAATGTCACAATTATAACAGCTTCTTTCTCCTTGAGGTCACTGCATGAACAGAAATGAGTCCACAGATGCTGTAGAGTTGTAGCCGGGTTTTTCCTGTGTTGATGCGCTCTAGATAATGTGGAACTGTCCCTTTGCTTGCTTTCCAAGTTGCTGAAGAGGCTATTGTGGCTAGAGGTGGCGTAATGTCAGAAGGTATTTTAGCCCAGGGCTATCTGAACTCAAAGGGCAGTAGACGGTTACAACACAACCACTGCCTGGTTCACACATTGCACTTTGTTCTGAGTTACTCTTGCTGTTTTTAGAACTTGCTTCTAAACCATAAAGTCTGACCTTGTTGTGAAAATGTGGACAATCTATGGAAACTTCTTTCGCCGATCAGTTACTGGAAATATTAGCTGTGACTTTTGTAATAGCTGGATTCACAATGGAGCCCAAACCAAACAAACCATATTATTCATTGATAATATTTGTATAGTGTCCGCTCCCTTAAACAGCTCAGGAAAGCTTATTAAATGCAGTTAAAATAGAATGCAATTAAACCAACACTTAAAATATTATTAATACATGAAGCATATTTTTAACTAATGGAATTAAAAAAAAAACCATAAATAAACAGAAAGAAAAAGAAAGGAATAGAATACATACATGGATATATAAAACAACGGAATCCCTAATAGGGTTTTGTTATTTATAATTAATGTTATTGCTAGCACAAAGGTTTTACACAGATGTTAGGGTTGAAGTAAAAAAAATTAAAAATGAGATTTGATTTGGTGATAGAAATAAAGGACAAAATAAAACAAAAAAGTAAAAAAAAATATCGCTTTTTTCTTCCCTTTCTTACCAACTGCTACTGAAATATTTTACATTATACTTTAAATTTCTGCAATTATTCTCCATTTCTGTTTAAATTATTTTTAATGTTTTTTAAAAATTGTATTTTTCAAAATACAATTAAAACGTTAATGCAACAAAAACCATTAAAACAGGGGTTCCCAACCTTTTTTGGCCATGCCCCACCTGAGTATCTCTAAAATCCTGATGCCCCCCCCCCCCCCCCCCCCCCCCCGCC